TTTAAAATGTCAGTTATAGGGGCCAGCCGAGTGGCGCATTGGTTAAGAGCTGGCTTGGGACGCCACAGGGCCCCGGTTCGGATCCCACATATGAGGGCCAGTGACACTGCCCTCTACAGCTAAGATGCTGAACAACAGCTCAACCTGGAGNGGCTCAGCTAAAAAAAAAAACAAAACAACAAAAAAAAACACACATATAAGATAAGACTAGGTAGTAAAACTTGCTGTTTAGCCTTGGTCAAGTCACTTTATCACTCATACGCTATCAAATAAAAGAGCTAATGTTTATGGATAGGGTAACCACACCTCACAGTTTTCCCAAAACAGCCCAGTTTATGCCAGTGGTTTCAACAGAATTATGTATATAGCTCCCTTTCACTCTACAGTGTACCAATTTGGAGAATAATTTATATAGTCATCCTATTCGTGAAACACTTTCTGTTTTCCAGGCACTGTAGTATTCTGTTTCGTTTAATCCTTACAACTCTACGAGGTATATAAACACCTGTGTCATTCTCAGTACAAATGAAGAGCCAGCTTCAAAACCTAAGCAGCCTGTTTCCAGCATAGCCTCAGGATCACAGCAAACACTGACTGAGCACTTATTATATTCCAAGCACTCTTCCCAGTACATACTTTATAAATACTAACTCGTTAAATCCTCATAAAATCCTAGGAGGGAAAGCTTGCTGTTATTCCCCTGTAGTAGATGGGGAAGCCGAGGCACGGGTAAGGCTTCACTTCTTCTTAACCGGAGTCATCAGTCTTTTGCCGATCTTGCGTGTGTCTCCTAAACACTTCTCAAGTCGTCCAGTCAGATACACCGTGAATATAGCTGTTCGCAGCATCTTTCCCAGTCTGCTGCTGTAGCTTTCTAAACTGGTCTCCCGGCTCCCGGTTTTGCCTCCCTCAAATCTCTTCTGCACCCAGTCGCCACAATGCTCGCTCTCAAATCCAGACGACCTCTTGTCTGAATAAAGTCTGGGCTCCCAAGTCCAGCCTCCCCTTTCGTGTCGCTCCTCCCCTTAGGCTCCCACAGTGCCAGCCTTTCCCCTGAACACACCGTAATGTGTCACACTTCTGTACCTTTGCTCATGACTTTGTCTGCCTGAGTGCATCCTTACCCTGTTATGTCAGCCTCTCACCTGCTTATCCATTTCATTTATCACTTTCTCCGGGAAACCTTACCTGACCATTCACATTCCTCTGTACCCCCAAGCTGGGGATGGGCCCCCTCTGTGCTTTTATAGCTCCCAGAGCATAGCTCTGTCGCTTCATAATTATGTTCAAATGATCTGTGTATGTATCTGTCTCTTCCCAGGAGACCAGAAGATACTGTATTTATTCACTTTTATATCCCCAGCATGTAGCACAATACCCAGTACACAAGGGTATACAGTAAGTGTTTTTTGAACCAAAGCTTCAGATTCATAATACTTAATCATGACTTCCAGTTTTTCAAGGGAAAGTCCAAGATAAAATTCTGAAGGTCTTAGCTAGGGAGAAAAAAAATCTGACAAATCCTGACTGACGAAATGGAACATACGATGCTTCATCCCACTGACACTGCTGAGAATAAGAGAGCAGAATAAATGCCCTAAACCTATATTTGAGCATCTGTTTTAGGCAATAACATTATGTGCTGGTCTCTCAGAACACGCCGTTGTTTGAAAGCCACATACTAGAACATAAACTGGTGTCTCACTAGCATGTAAATGCGCAGGTTCAGGGACTCGGGAGATTTTGTTTCTAACTGTTCCCCCAGTGCCATTGACAGTTCCTGGTGCATAATAGGCGCTTAAGAGATAGGTATGAAAATTAGTGAATTCAGAATCAATTGCTGTGCACATTCCTTCTTTAAGAAATAATGTTTTACTTAGCATGAGAATTGACCCTTCATGCTTCTGTCAATATTGACATTTTGGTTTGTTTTCAGGCGCTGGCTGCTGGAGGAGTGGGGTCCATTGTCCGAGTGTTGACTGCCAGGAAAACGGTGTAGTCCAGCAGGAACTGGACATCTGTGGACGTGGGAGTTGCTGGTACAAAGACCAAAACAACCAAAAGCCACCACTGCCCTTTGGGCAGCATCTGCTCTCTCAGCTTTGCCTTCTTGCTTCCTCTTTCATCTCTCTCAAGAAGAAAATTACGTATCAGTTTTCCTTTAATGAAAATTGGGATACTATAGAGGGAATGTTTCAACAGGAGTGTCTCATGCTCTCAAAAGTAATTCAGTGATGTGTAACACCAGTCTGTATATAGTATAATTTACATTCAAGTTTAATTGTGCAATTTTTAACCCCTAATGGCTGGTGTTTCTGTTTTTCTGGGGTTTTTGGAGGGGTGTTTTTAGTTTTGTTTTTGACTAATAGAGAGAAATTTGATCTGAATTTGATGCCAGTTTCCTAACTCATTGCAAGCCAGGAAATGATCCTTATAAAAACTATGTTTGAGAGACTGGCAGCTATTAACATTGAGAAACTGGACCATACTTCTCTTATTTAAGCAAAACGTGTTTCTGGAACAAGTGGTGGGTGAACACCACTACCAAGCTCCAGCTTTATTTCTGCTTGCCTCCAGATTATGTGAGTTTAAGTTCGCTTCTTCCTCTCAGCATCCAGTAATCATGGCCTCTTGATTCTTTCGTGGTCACCAGGGTCCAGAGCAAGGAGTCTTGCTCTACACAAATGTATCTCTAAAACACCAGAGCCTGTTTGGCATGAGCATAAAGCTTTAGTTCCAGTCATATGGCCCTACTTGGGGAAACTACTCCACATCAGAAAGGACATGGAAGCTATGATGTAGTTCAGACTCTGGGCAGCCTCTCAATGACATGCTCTTTTCCATAGACCTGTAGTAGCTGCCTTAGACTTTATGAGGTATATAACCAGTATTTCATATGCCCTGTAAATGTCTTCAGTGTTCTCCAGGGTGATTGGGATCTCAGAAGATTTGGTTCAGATCCAAACACATCTACATTCTGTATTTTAGCTCAGTGGTTTAAAAAAAAANCGGCTGCTCAGCTCGGGCTGGACTCGAACTGCTGTTGCTCAGAGCTCAAACTCTTGAGCGAGCTCTTAACCAACTGAGCCACTCGGCCGGCCCCCAGATTCTTACTTTCTTATTAAAGATCTGTGAAAGCTGTACAAGCATTAAATATTTATTATAGAAAACTCAGAGATGTCGGGGGATAAAAAAAGACATCGTCTATAACCCCACCACCTCAAGATCATAATTACTGTTTTTTGGTGTTGCTATCTGCTTAGACAGTTTTTCTATGAGAGTTTTTTTTTAAATAAAAATGGAATTTTATAACCTGCTCTTTCAGTTTTATAGCCATGGACCTGAACATCTTTCCTTGGCAATAAGTTTATTTCTGGAACGTCTTTATTAATGGCTACATACAGATATGCTGCAGCTTATATATGACTAATCTTTTTTTGTCATATATTTAGATTATTGACATTTTTTCTTGCGGTAAACAGTACTGAAATGGACAATTTGGGGTGAATTTTTTATTATTTCCTTTGAATAAATTCCTAGAAGTGAATAGCTGCATTTTAGAATGCACATTTTTTTAAGGCTTCTGGTACACACAGTATTGCCAAATTAGCCTTAAGAAAAGTTGTGCAACTTAACATTCCTTGCAGCAGTCTTTCAGTCATTCTTAAGAACCTATTTACTTCATTATTTATTGTTTAAAATGAAACCCAGAGCGTTGACCCCAGTGTCATAGCTATTCATGCATCCTAGGAGCCCTAAGAGTCTCCTTAGTTGAATAGTAGTAAGTAATAACTAGGTAAGTGCATAGTAATTATCTAGGCAACATAATTCTTTATAAGGGAAAATTTTCTTTGGTTTTCAAAATTTGTGAAGAACATCATTGAAATTTCAGTTTTACCACCTTCTGCTTTTTTTGTATGAATGGTTTTTTTGGGGTTTTTTTCTCACAGTTTGAGGGTGGGAGGTTATAGTTCTGGATGCAAGGATATTTTTCAAAGTTGGGTAATTGCATAGTCTTTAAACTGAAGATAACAATGGGTGGTAGAGACATTCTGTAAAATCCTGACCAGTATTTATGGCAAAGGTATCACTTTGTCTTGAATGCAAGGAAAAATGAATTCAAAGGGTAAATTAAGTGTTCCCTTTGCTTGGCTTGATGGATAAAAACTAACTTTACTGTTGGAGCAGCCTTTTATCAGAGAAAAAAAGATCATTATAAATGAATATCACTATATCTTACATCTATAGTCACTTGACTATAGACATGAAACTTAAAATACATTTTCTTAAAAACTTAAATATTTATTATTAATAATAACTTATTTCTGAAGGATGGTTCAGAGTAGAACTGCAATTCATTTTCCTTGTTCAGATTTTTTTAAGATCAAGAAGTAAAATTTAAATATGGATTTAATAAATTGGTAAATGATCACATCTATCTGTAAGCAAATCCTCTTAGCCCTACCTTCAAATGTCAAGCATCTGTCCACTTCTGACCACCTCCTTTGCGACCTTGCTAACCACAACCAGCCTATAGTATTGCAATAACTTCCTCATTGGTCTCCCTGCTTCTGCGTTGTCCCCTCCCCCAACCCCCACCTCCAGCTTATTCTCAACATGGCAGCCAAACTGATCCTGATCAAACAGAAGATAGATTATGTCACTGTTCTTCCCACATCATTTCTCTGGGTGAAAGCCACAGTCCTCACAATGGCCTGCAGGGCTTCCACGATCGGTCTTCCCACTACCTCTCCGATTTCTGTCCTGCTGTTCCCCACCCCTCCCTTCCAGGCCTTGGGTCTTTATGCTATTCCTTGAACACACACCAACAGCATTTGTTCTTTCCTCTGCCTGAAATACTTTCCTCAGGTATCCTCAAAGTTTCCTCTTCCATGTCCTTCAGGACTTGACTCAGATGTCACCTTCTCAGCGTGGCCTTTCGAGAACTGTAACCCCGCACACACATATATCTAAATGTCCTGTTATTTCTCTACCCTCAGGATCGGGCAGGCAGCATTGTCTTGAAGGTGCTCATCTCTTTTAAAGCTAACGACATTGAAAAGGCTGTTCAATCCCTGGACAAGAGTGGCGTGGATCTCCTAATGAAATATATTTATAAAGGCTTTGAGAGCCCCTCTGACAATAGCAGTGCTGTGTTATTGCAATGGCACGAAAAGGTAAGTTATGAATTATAAATCTGTATGACTGGTTTCTTGACCATAGAGAATAATGGTGACAACCTCTCTCACCTAAATAATTTTGACTTCTTGGTTATATGTCTTTGTTATTACAAATAAATACATGAAGGTGGAAGTTTAGATTCATGCTTACTAGCCTTGGACTTAAGAAATTCTGATTTGCAGCACTTACATTTATTCAGTAATGATGATTGTTTATGAAATGTAATCTTGAACTTTGAACTTAATCAAAACTTTGAAAAGAAAACAAGCAATAACAAAACAAGAATTCTTTGACAATGGCCAAAAGGTGGAAACAACCTAAGTACCCATTGACAGATGAACAGATAAACAAAACATGCTACATACATACAATGAAATAAAATGGAAGTGTCTGTTCATGTAAAAAAGGAACTTCTGATAAATGCTTTAGCATGAATGAACCTTGAAAACAATATGCAAAGTGAAATAAGCCAAACACAAAAGGACAAATACTGTGTGATTCCACTTGTATGAGATATCTAGAATAGGCAAATTCATGGAGACAGAAACTAGGTTAGAGGTTACTGGAGGCTGGAAGAAGGGAGAATAGGGAATTAATGCTTAATCAGTACAGAGTTTCTGTTTGGGCTGATGAAAAAGTATTGGAAGTAGATAGTGGTGATGTCTGTACAATATTGTGATGTAATTAATGCCACTGAATTTTACATTTAAGGATGGTTAAAAGTGGCAGATTTTGTGTAATATTTTAATAATTAAAAGAAATTGGAGGTGGGATCAAGAATTCTTAAATATTTTGTACTGTTTTTATGCATTTTGTTTTGCAATGCATTTTATTTTGCAATGCAAGCAGATAGTATACTATCAAAGAAAATTGGGTAGAAGGAATTTGAGCTTTAAGTAAAACGTTGGTAAGGTAATGTTTAATACCCAGCTCTTATATTACATTGGTATAAATATGAACAATGTAACATTTAAATAGAACCAAGCACAGGTAAGGGGTCTATTCTCTAACTTAGTACAATTCCCAAAACTCATGTCTTCAGAAGCTATTTATTGTCTGTGTATCTGAGTAAAAACACACATATAAGGGCCGGCCGAGTGGCTCAGTTGGTTAAGAGCTCGCTCAAGAGTTTGAGCTCTGAGCAACAGCGGTTCGAGTCCAGCCCAAGCTGAGCAGCC